CTGCTCCAGCCACCAAGGACTGGACAGAGGTCAGTATCCATCCACCATCATATGAGGGGACTGTGGTGAGAGCTGTGGATCAGCTGAAGGAGACACTCAGTAAAGACATGAAGAAGCTGTTTGAGGCTGAGCTGAAGAGGGTCCAGCAGTATGCAGTGGATGTGACTCTTGATCCTGATACAGTAAATCACCATCTCATCCTGTCTGATGATGGAAAGCAAGTACACTGTGGTGAAGAGGAGAATGATCTTCCAGACAACCCAAAGAGATTTTCTGAAGAGCTTGTTGTTTTAGGAAAGAAGAGTTTCTCTTCAGGCAGATTTTATTTTGAAGTTCAGGTTAAAGAAAAGACTGAATGGGCTTTAGGAGTAGTCAGAGAATCAGTCAACAGGAAACAAGAAATCATACCGAGTCCTGAGAAAGGTTACTGGACTGTAGGAGTATATGAAAACATTTGTGTGGCTCTTGAGGATCCTGAAGTCCGTCTCCTGCTTCAGTCTTATCCTGAGAAGGTGGGGGTGTTTGTGGATTATGAGGAGGGTCTGGTCTCCTTTTATGATGTAGATCGTGCAGTTCTTGTCTACTCCTTTACTGGCTGCTCCTTCACCGGGAAACTCTACCCATTCTTCTGTCCCGGGGTCAATGATGATGATAATGATAACTCTGCACCTCTGATCATATGTCCTGTCAATCAGTCAGTCAAATCGTTTTCCATGGGGAATGTGGATCAATCAAAGTTTAAGCCAAGCCAGAGAAGAAGTCCTATAAACAGAACCCAGCAAAATGCACCTGATGAAGACCACAAGATTCGGTCAGAAGCTGCAGAACAAGCTGAGCTTTAGTTGATTCCTGCTTTTAAACTGTTCCGAAGTTTAAGAAAATGATCCATTTGACGATAAGTCCAGTCTGTATAAATAGAAACTCACCTCTTCTTTCCTTTTAATGTTTAAAGGCACAGATATTAAAGCATATACTGTCCATGGACATGAGTACAAATGTTAGAATTACATTATTTTCATTCACCTGGTGTGAAATATCAAAAACAGGATGGAGAAACTGTTCTATTGTTTTAACAAGAACAGCACACTTGTTCACAATGAAATGAATAAATATCAGAACTTCTATCATCTTGTTTGATGGTTTCTTTGATGATGATCAGCTCCAGAGCTCCAGTCTTCACTTCACTTCAGGTTTACAATGGCTCACTTCAGAATTAGCCATTGTAAACCTTCAGAGAGATGCAAGTCATAAATACATTTGTAAGAAGTTCTTTTTTTGTTTGTTTGTTTTGGTTTTTTGGGGCAGATTGAGATAATTGATCAGAAGATAATGACATCCTACTAACACCTTCAACTCGTCCTTTTTCCTTCTCATCCCTGTGACTCGTTCATGATGCACATGTAAAGTTTTGGTTTGGGTACTTAAGTTTTGATTCATTATTTTTCATTGTCTGTGAAGGTTCTCAGTCATCCAGGTCATCGTAGTCAAAGGAGCTTGCAAAGAAAAGCGTCTGGACTTCTTTAAGTTGCTTGAAGACGTTTCACC